TATATATATATATATATATATAGAGAGAGAGAGAGAGAGAGAGAGAGAGAAAGAGAGACTGTATACTCTGTATATCATTGTATATCTGTATAAACCTGTATTTTCTTGTTTTCTTAGAATAAATATTTTTATTTTTGATACATTTATGCAGCAGAAACGACTTTGCTTTTGTCTTAAATTGGCGTACCGACTGTAATTCTTTAATGTCATCTGGCAATGTGTTGTAAAGTAACGTACATGTAATGTATGTTTATTTCTTGTAGTAAGCGGTTGATACTGACACGTGATGAATCTGATTGCTACGTGTGTTGTAATTATAAATATCATTATTGCATGAAAATAAATAGGCACGGCAATGGTAGATTCCAAGCTCAATTAATAGAGGCTTGCGGGAATCACGTGAATGAAATTTTTTCATTGTATCGGGGTACTGCAGAATGAGCTTCCCCAGAATATTATGCAATATACCGGAATGTACATTCGCAAAATACACGCAATCAACTGCATAAAGGCTGACAGAATTTGAAATAATTCTTAATGTGTAACATAATGAACCACGTTAATGAAACACGTTTTCCTTCATTAACTATTAATTTGTTATTACGAAACCAAATTAACACTTCTGAAATCGTACTATTTATTGTTGTTTTTTTGCAAAGAACATTCGTGTCATCGGCAAACGGAACTGTTCTTCCATTTTTAATGAACGAGGGCATATCGTTTTCATATAACAGAAAGAGGCTAGGACTTAAGATCGAACCTTGCGGGACCCCGTACTCATGCTTCATAAGACCCCAACTGAATTGGGGAGCAAACGTTTCACACCCAGACACGCGCGCGCGCGCATACACACCAAAGTAGGGTTAGATACAGCATTTATAACTCAAGAACGGCTGGGTAAATTTTAATTTTCTCAGATATGTTGGTTTCGTCTCCACCCCTAATAGCAGAATAACTATTAAAATGTAGGAAAAAATCACTAGATGGCGCTGTAGAACAAAAGTAAATATTCATGCGAAACGCAACCCGCAACACACACCGCCGGAATTTTTCGCATGTATATCTCCAATGACTCCTTCGTGTTCTATGGCATTGAAACTAATTTTTTGAAACCAAAAGCCAGAAAAGACTTTTCTATCGGCGTAATCCAGCGAATGACATCTTTTTCAACATTCTATTTCAATTTTGCTGGGATGAAGAGGAGGGTAGGGGAGAGAGTGGGAACAGAAGAGAGAGAAAGGGAGATGAAGGCAGAACGTCAGCCGAGTGCCGCTAGTTCAAAATATATAAACAATATATTATCCGTAATCCAAATTAAACGCTATAATGTATTTGCGATGCACGGCGAAAATAATTCTGTTTATGAATTGGGGGATGAGGGAACTTTTTGTTTGAAAGAATGAACCCCCTATATCAACTGAGCAAAACCCCAGCTTCCCTCTGGACGCCTTGCATTTGCCACTTGTGTTCCTGCTACTTCACTTTACACAACAATTACTTTACAAAAATTTCCATATATTTCTAGCACAATTTCTCACGGCATCTTATCGACACGAAACGTTCACACATATAGCAGAATATATCAGATTTTTTCTTCAGTCACGACGTACTATGTTGGTATAATTCAAATAAAAATATTGTTTTTATTGAAATTATTGTTAAACATATATAATATTTTCATTGAATTACGTGTGTAACACACGCGTATATAACACTTGTCTTCAGAAGACAAAATTCTCTTTTCACTAGCAAGAGAAGCATAATTCAGACTATAACAAACAAATCCAGCGGTGCCAAGTGATTAAATGAATATACTGGCACCAGTCAACTTTCAATCAACTTTCATAAATCCTGATATATTCACTAAACTTCCTGGTACCAAAGTATGTTGACTTAAATTATGATATTATTGATGTTATACCTGTTTTATCGCACACAGGAAGTTCGTTAAACTTATACTACAATTAAAATTAGAATGTAATTGGCATTTGGGTGTGGAGGGAGGCGGCGTGCCGCGGCATTGCCGCATATTACGCGCTCTCAACACTAATTATGGTACCAGAAGAAAGAAATGTTAAAAAACTGCTAACATGTTTGCTCCTAAGATTTGTTTGCAGGTAAAATTTGTTATATAATTTTAGCTCACACAAAATGTGAAAATGCGGAAACTTCTGATTGGCTGTTCTTAGTTTACAGCACCGGCATCATCACGTGACCACGAAATGTCAATCACATTCGGCCCTTAACTCGATATCGATTCATTTTATATCGAAAAACTAAATTTAAAAAATGGAACGTTCTATCCTTTTGTACTATGGCATGTGCCACAAAAAGACCATCTATTCCACCCTAATGTTTTATGGAGTGCTTTCACCAATATCATAGTTATTTGTAATATAGGAGTTCGATTTAAAAGTAAAAAAATTACAAACGAATTCTGACTTGTTCATCATCAATTATCGGAGACTTAATCTTGGTATTTAAACGTACCAGGATGTCTTCAACCTGGTACATGGTATCTTCATTAAAATCCTGGTGGAAGTACCAGAATGCTAGTACGTTTGGAAATAGTGAACAAAACACAACAGAATCTGCTATCACTGTAAACAGAATCGTCACTCTGCCAAATTTGGTGTATTGTACAGTGTTGTCGGATCTAGACTGTGAGCGTCAGGTTGTCAGATGACCGCAGGAGATCGAATTAATAAATGAATCTAGATTTCGTATTTGAAGCAATATTTCTTCTGTAATAACATAAGGTAATACAAGTTTTAAAAAATGAGTGATAAAGAAAAAATAACGTATTCTGATTCAGGATGCAATAGTAATCACAAAAAACAGTACATGATGTTCATTAATACCCCTGACGTTCCGAAAATTGCAAGCGTACATACATAGTTAATTACACTTACGTGTTTGAATTCTGTGTCCCCTTATATTAGTTTACACGCTAAAGTGAGTCAGTTATCTGTACCTACATGAGAACTGTAAACGGATTAAAGTATGTTATGATGCAATAAAGTATATGGACAAATCTGAAAGTTATGTAGGATTATTATTATAAATGACAAACTATAATCGTGTTTCTACTATATTTTATCCGCTACAATATTTTAAATCACCTTAATTCACTTTGGCTCAATGGTCAGAAAAGAATCCAAATAATATTTAAATTCTTGTGAAATATTTAACAGGTGATATTTATCTGTGTTTTGATTTTGTTTTTTTTATTTATAATTAAATGATCATTATTTTAAACTCTAAAATGTTAAAATAACCGTCTTACATTGAATAGAAAGATAAATATAATAAACAGGTTTACTACAGCACTCAGCATCACACTTTATAAAAATAGTGGGTTTAAGTTATTTGCTCTGATAATCAGAAAATATTTACATATTTATCTTAGTCATAACTTAATGTAATATCTTTGACTTTCAACCATATATTTTTATCAAAATAATTTTTTAGATATTTATGATATTATCATAGAAGATATATTATTCTTACACATTATTTTTATATTTTATTCATTTATTTAGCTCAGAAGAACCTTTTTGTAAAATTAACTTAAAAATGAAATATATATGGAAACTATACAAAACACAACAATAAACTACAGAACTTTAAAATTTGATTTACAAGTTGTATGTTGGAATATATCATTTATTTATTTGAAGAGACACATATAATCTTTTGAAACATATTTGCAGAGTCACATAATTAAAGAAAGGTGTGATGTAAACATTCATCCATATTTCATAGGAATTAAATGAACTCTTAATGTAACTCAATATTAATACTGCATTTTCAAGATATGGAATTAGATCATTTATTCTGATTTTGTAGAAAATGATCTCTAAGAACATTCAGCCTAATCTCCAAACTTTCACTCAGCCAGCCAATTCCCTCAGGAATTTCTCTCCTTCCTAGAATAAAGAAAGAGCAGATGAACTGTAATACAGTAAACATTATTTTTTATTAAGAAATTGGAAACCTAAAGAACATACCTATAAGTTTCTCAAGTTTCTTCATAGTTATTTTAAGAACACGAAATGTTTCAAGAAGATCATTTAATATTTCAACGTTTAAGTGATCCTTCTGTTGATATGCTTCCACCTTTTCGTTTATTATGAGTACACAGCGAAGTGCTATTTTTATTAAAAGCTTCTCGCGAATTCTTAGTTCGTCCATCATATACCGCTTGTATTACTCCACTTCTGTAAACAATATATTATTTGTTCCTTGTTAATAATTTACTATACACGAATTAATAATTAAATGAAAGTAAGAGTTAATATTACCAGATAAGTAAAATAATTGTGTAGTGAGATAATTGCGTTATAAAACTCTACCTGGAAGTTCTGTGTCGCATGGAAGTCTATCCCGCGATGAATAAGTTTCAGACACCAACAAACACCACTGTTGATAATAGAAATCGACTATTAAACCTTGATCAATCGATCTACTCTCAATATGTTTCACGTAAACAAATAATGCGTGCAGGAAGCTGTGTTCTTGCGTAGCAAATGAGCTTCATGCAACAAATTGCGTCTGATGTGGAGCGGCAAATTTAAATGAAACCTGAAAGGCAAACATCACTTAACTATACTCTATGGAAACATGTTAAAGTAGAATTCCAATTCTCCATCTTAAAGGTACCCGCAATATCTTTCAAAAGCATGGGTGTCTCACATATATGTGTTTTATTTGTCCGCAATTAAGAAATAAATATAATGAATATCGAATTTACCAAATAATAGTAATAGTAATAGTAATAGTAATAATAATAATAATAATAATAATAATAATAATAATAATAATAATAATAATAATAATAATAAATTACAGCCATAAATAGCTGGGCTGTGCCTACGCTGATGTATAGTTTTGGTATAGTAATATGGTCTAATGCAGATCTAAATTTCCAATTTGATTGGTACTTTTTCTATAGCAAATACTGATTAGAGAGAAAAAGAGGGAAGATCTACAATGTTAAGTCTACATTCTCTGAAAAGTCATGAAGCTGCCCTTTACTATCTCTATCAAAAAGCGAGATTATCAATCTTCAAGATTACTAATCTTTCGTAAGATCCATCCGGACCGGCCGGACCTGGTTCAGGAGCCTCCAAAATACGCAATTCTATGTAAACGATTTATTGAAATGTTATTATTTTATAATTATAAATTACAAGGCATTGCGTAGACAGCGAGAGTTTGTCAAATCTTTATAATGAGATAGAAAAAAAAATATTCAGTGTCAGCTGAACGGCTGAAAATATAGTCCGCCAGCGTTTATTAATGAAAGGGATTATATTATTAATTGCGTTTATTAATGAAAGAGATTAGAGAATGATTAATGACAGAGATAGATACAACCCCAACCTAACTGCAGCATGAGTACGCGTCGCCACATCGCCAGACACGTGACACTGCGTGTCTTTCTCTAATGCACTATTACTACACGTGTCACTTTCTTTGTCTTACTCACAAGACACCCAACTGGTGGTTCTGTACGTGCGTACCTAGAGAGCCGAGTGTGTAGACGGTCTTGTCCGTCTCGACTATACGCAAGTGCAAGACCCGACAAATTGTCAACTAAAAAAAAATAATTTTCATAAATTATAAAATGGCCGATTTTTTAGTCTAGCGCATATGTCGCTGCGGATTGCGGATTGAACGTCGAAAATGCAAAGGAAAATGCGGTAATATAAACGATACCTCTGGCAACTGGTGGAATGCTTGCTCTGAAAATAGTTCCACAGACACGTTTCCCTAAACCCGACTCGTTTTCTCGTCCACGATCCCTTTGACAAGCTTTAGAGTAATTAAAAATGAACACATAAATACTGCTGCAGGGAATGAAAAATTGCTCCGAAATATCAAGAATTCGTGTTATCGCCGTTTGTTGTATCCAGGTTTGACTGTGTATTTAAGTTCAAATTTTCAACGTCGGATTAAAAAGAAGAATTTTTGTATTTTGAAAATACAAAGTATTGTCAGAAAGGTATTTTCGACACAGATACAAAATACGTGTTCAACTATGTATTTTCAATACAAATTACAATAGCAAATCGAAATCGAAAATTCGTGTTTAAATACATGTATTTTCGATACTGCCCAACACTGAGAGTATTACAGAAGAGTGCGACTAGTTACGCTGTCCGCTCTGAACTCCAGGAATAAAATATCTGCAATAGTTTGGCGACGCCTGTACCAGAATACGCTTTCGGACAAGTGAACTTTTTGACTGAACAAGAAATTCGAATTACGGATCGAAAAAACAGAAAGCTACTTCGAATACACCATGTGCCCCATCCTCGAGCACATAGACTTAGTGTCATGTACGGAAGACGCCTCAGACAAATTAGGAAGAGGCCTCCTGGCACAATGTAATAGTCGGGCTGGGAAGGTATGAAGTCAATCAACAAGATGACCCACTAATGAGGCATTGTACGTGTAGCAAGAAGCATTGCGAAGAAGACTATACAAAACACGTAGAATAACACACAGACTGAACTTCTAATGCCATTTGACACGAAATATGAGACAAAAAATATTCAAGAAATCGTGAAGAGACAAACCACTTCATGGACAATATCTAAAAATAATGGACAGAGTGCAGATCAATAAACATCAATCATTTCTGTGTCTTAAAAGCGAAGGAATGAAGCCCGAGCAGTTTTTATAGCTGCCCAATATCAGGAGTTGAGAATGCGTCATTATGATAAAACGGTTATAAATATTGCCCATGATGATAAATGCCTCATTTGCCACAAGTAGAAACCATCATATCGTCATAACTCCCTTGGAAGCCCAGTCATATTTATGACTGGGCTTCGAAGTATAACGTGCTGAGTGATCTGAGATGGCCGATATTCGCATAATATAGTAGATAAAAATGGTATTTGCACCTGTAAAGTCTTATACATTTTTCATGTTTATTATTCGTTAATGTGTTTCTTTTCAAAACATGTTTTACTCATTGTTCTAATTATTTACGAAAAGCAAACCTGTGGTTATTCTAGTTATTAACACTTATACAGTAAATAGTAATTCCTGTTGAAAATACGATGTGATTCCAAACTTTATGACTTTTACAGAAATTTCTTACACAAAAAAACGGAACTTATTGTTGACAGGAAAATAATGTAGATCTGCTTCTCAGTTTTTATTTCTACATTTCGCGGGTCCTTTCTGCCGAAAAATTTGCTTCCGACGAAATATCTGTGAACAACCGTGTGGGAACATTGTTAGCGAGTAAACCGGTAAGATTTTTGCAAAATTTGATATTCTCTGATCGGTCTGGCAGCTGTAGTGGACCGTTGAATTTGAAACAAATATTTTAATATCTGAAGGTACTTTATATACAGACTGAACGTTTCCGATTTACGATGAACTCACTCAATATGTGAAGTTGCAAAAGTTCACATTTTAGGGCATCTTCCAAGAAATGCATCATAGAAGACACTGATTTCCTAAATGTTGGCCACAATATAGTAATGACAACTCACCTTATGTATACTCTCTGAATATTTTAGTTGCTCAGAATTTCTATCAAAACCAGGCTCAATATGTTAACTCTGATGAACTCTGCAACTGTAATGATGACTAATTAAAACTTGAGGTGCTGCCAAAATACATACTTCCTCGCATTGGTTGTAAGTGCTCCGCAACATTATACTACTACATTAAATAGCAAAAGTGTTTTCAAGCATCAAATTATTTTCCGCTCCGAGATTCGAACTCACTCAGAGCAAACACGGCGGAGCTCAACCATCTGCGCCACAGAAGCGCCGCAGGGGCCCAACTGGGGCAAAGGCATACATGTACGATTCATGTAGAAAACCCTGCAACAATCAAAATATTTCTTACAAACTCCTAACGTCTCCAGTCCGTTGAGATAAATCAGGGAATATCAATTTTAAAGAAAATCAGCTGAATGGTTTAGGTGGTAGCCTTGGCCACAGACGGACAGATGGATGTACTGCTGTCAATCGATGTTTCGGTATGAAGAACAAACAAACATGGATTCTGACTACACCACGAGGCAGAGGCGTCTTTTCTTCTTACTTTAGCAACGGGATAATAATAATAATAATAATAATAATAATAATAATAATAACAATAATAATAATAATAATAATAATTATAATAATAATAATAATTATAATAGCAACAACTCTTACGGGACTAACGACAATGGTTGCTCAAGCCCCCAAAAACAAATAAATAATAAATGAAACGACCACATTTTTTTCATCCTAGTGTTTTTTCCATTTCTATTGGGTCGGCGCTAATAGGGGTGGGATAAGTTTTAATTGATTTTCCGCACACTTCTTTTTTCAAGATTTGAGAATGCTGTTGCGGCCAGATTCCCTTTCTGGGCATCTGGGACACAGGGATCACACAAATACATAGGCAACACACGCAATAACGAAACACGCTCATCCATCAGGCACGGATCCATGGGGAGGGACATGACGTAAATTAACCCCCCCCCCTTAAATTTTTCAGTAACTCTTCATTTTAACTTGTCATGAAACTTTCAAGCAAAAATATTTTCAGATAATCATTAAAACGAATAAAATCATATTGCAGCATGAGCTGAGTGTAGCCTGCGACATTTTACAAATCTGTAATGACATTATGATAAATAAAGGATAGGAACTTTGTTTTCGGCTCGGAATCTGAAAACTCTGAGGATGATCGCTACGCGATCGAAACGATCATAAGCCTAATAAAATTATTGATACCAGACTTCATCCTTTATTTATCATAATAATAGAAGTTATCTACCTCACCAGCGATTTAATAAATCTGTAATGACATATTCAACAACAACAACAATATTCAATATTGAAAACATTTTTAATTTCCCCTCCCAAAATTTGTCTCTCGATCAACCCCTGCATCCATGCCCGAGGCGTGATACGAACCCAGGATTTTTCCGTTCGAGGCCACTACAGCCCTCGCCTTAACTATCTCGGCGTTCCAGATCGGCAAACCAACGACCACCATCCCCTTCCTAAAAGTTCGAACCCTGGCGCTATAAGTTGGTTAGTTCCTCTTGAAAAGGGCCGTAGTGCAATGGCGCCACCGTCGCGGGCCGCGTGGTCGCCGCGTCGTCGCAGTCGCAGGCAAGCGGCCCAAGGCGGCGACGACGTCCTCGTGGACCGAACAGCGCGTGCACCGGCGCCCCGCCACGGCGCAACGCCCT